GGGGTTTTTTTGGGGTTTGTTTTTTTTTTTTGTCTGAGTCTTTATTTTTCCTTTGGGAAAGTTCCTTTCTATTCCTAGTTTACTATTTAACATGACAGTCTCTTCCCCTACCTTTGTTATTGGGATGATCATGTGGCTTTTATTCCTTATTGATAGATTACGGTTTTGGTTTTTGTTTTTTTTGGAACCAGGGATTGAACTCAGGCTCTGTGCTTGCCAACCAAGCACTGATTCTACTGAGCTATCTCCCTGACCCCTACATTCACTTTTTAAAAATCTTTTATTTACTTATTTGGTATAGGGTCTCGCTACACAGGTCAGCTCAGACTCATAGTGATCCTCCCGTCTCAGCCTCCCCAGTATTGAGGTTACAGGCATGAGCAATCACACCCAGTTTCTGTGGATGAATGGCTTAGACGGCTCAGAATAGCATGTGGTATTGGGAATTGAACCCCTGTCCTTGTGCTTGCCAGGCAGGCCCTTACTCTGCTGAGCTATCTCTCCAGCCTACATTCATTTTTGTATCTTGAGCCAAATTTGCATTTCTGAGGTAAATCTACCTGGTCATGGTACATAAATTCTTTTTAGTGAATGTACTGTATGTTGCTACCATCTTATTGAAGATTTCCATATCTATTTTCAGAAGAGATGGTCTGCCTTATGAAGACATTCTTGCTTTTTGCTATCAGGGTTAAGACTAGCCCCAAAGAACGAAGTGGAGCCAGGTACAATGTTACATGCCTATAAACACAGCACTCTGGGAAGCTGAGGCAGGAGGATTCCAAGTCTGATCTAAGCCAAGGCAACTTAGCAACTTATCAAGAACCTATCTCAAGATAAATATCTAAAGGGGTTAGGGATATTGCTCAGTGTGAAGTCCTTGGATTCCTTCCCCAGTGCAGGGTAACTGGTACCACCTCCCATATTCCATTTTGTTAGAGTTTGTAAAGAACTGTCAGTTCTCCAAGTATTTGGTTCAATTCTAAGATTCTTTGGTTCTGAACTTTTGAGATTTCCTACTTTTAAAAGCTAAGAAATTTTTACTCTAACTTCCTTAATTGATAAAAAACTGAAAAGAGAAACCAAAATCATAGTCTACTGTCTTTGGTTATTTAAAAAAACCGTGGGGCCGGCCAAATAGCTCTGTGGATTAAAGCGCCTGGGCGCTGGGGCCGGGGGTTTGTCCCAGGCATGCTGAGACAGTAGTTGAGAGAGACTGGGCATGGTGGCGCACACCTGTAATCCCAGCTCTTGGGAGGCTGTAATCAGGTGGATCACTATGACTTCCATCTAGTACTGAGACCCTGAACACCCTGTAGACCATTCCCTAAAATACCAAAAAATTAAAAAATGTGATTTTATTTTTGTATTTAGTACAGGGCTTACAGGTTCTCACTATGTAGCCTGGACTCATAGTCATCCTCCTGTTTTCAGCCTCCCAAGCAGTGGAATTACAGGTGCACGCCACCACGCCCAGTCTCAATCTCAGCATGCCCTAGGGGCCGGGCTCACATGCTCGCATGGGGAGGGGGGAGAGGAGATAGAACCCCGGCCACTGTGCTCTGCCTAAGCAGGCGCTTTAATCTGCTGATTTTAAAATAAAATATAAGGCAGTCTTTCTTTCATGTAAACTATCCATCCATCTAGTGGACCCTTTAGAAATTTTAAACTTTGTGGATTTTAGATATCTGAGGTGGCCTACCAATCCTCACAAGAACCTTACACTCCTCTTTAACATATGTTTTTGAAATTTTATGATCTGAAATATGTTCATGTACAGAAGAAACTAAAGTCACAGTCCTCGGTCAGTTACTTAATAACTTGTTATCTTGGCAGAATTATAAATACCAGGCCTTAATTTATTCATCTATATATAAGATGACAATGGCATCTATCCCTTGGGTATTTATTAAACAGAGTACATGTAAAGTTAAAACACTTGAGGGGGCGGGGAGATAGCTCAGTAGAATAAGCACTTGCCTGGCAAGCAGAAGGTCCCGAGTTCAATCTCTGTACAGGGGTGGGGGCAGGATTTAAGGGAGCCAGGCATGGTTGCACACATGTTTAATCCCAGCACTCAGGAGCTGAGGCAGGAGGACTGCTAGGAGTTTGAGATCATCCTGCGCTACATAGATAGAACCAGTCTCAAAAAAAAAAAGGAGGAAAATCCATAAAATGTCAAATGTTCTCTATTGGAAATATATATTCATTTAAAAATAGTTCAAAACATTTATACTTTTGATTTTTTTTTAAATTTTTTAAATTTAGTACAGGGTCTCACTACAGACTAGACTCAGCACACCCCAGGGGCAGGGCCAGCGCAGCATGCAGGGTACGCAGGGGATCGAATATGGGCTGCTGTGCTCAACCTACACAGGCACTTTAATTTGCTGAACTATCTGGCCATCCCCCCCACACACACACTTTTTTTTTTGTGGTACCAGGGACTGAACTCAGGACCTTGCACTTGCCAGGCAAGCACTTATTCTGCTGAGCTATCTCCCCAGTCCCTAAAACTCTCAATTAAGCTTAATTTAAAAATACTTTCGTGGGGCCGGGGAGATGGCTCAGTGGAATAAGTGCTTCCCTGGCAAGCGCAAGGGTCTGAGTTCAATCCCCAGTTGTGAAAAATAAATAAAATAAATAAATAAAAACACTTTAGTTGGGGCTGGTGAGATGGCTCAGTGGTCTAAAGCACCTACTTAGAACAAGCTTAGCAAAGCACAGGGACCGAGGTTCAATCCCCCAGCACCACATGCCAGCCAGCCCCGCCCCCTGGTGGACTGAGCTGGCCACACACACACACACACACACACAAATAAATAAAAATTTTTTTAAAATAAAAATACTTTCGTTAGCCAGGCACGGTGGTGCACACCTGTAACCCCAGCACTTGAGAGGCTGAGGTAGAAGTACCAGCGCTCTAAGTTCTAGCCAGCCTTTGCTACATAGTGAGGCCCTGTCTCAAAACAAACAAGTACTTTTGTTGCCATAATAAAGCATTCACCCAGCACTTACTTGCTGAATTTTAAAGTTAGTTGTATAGATTAAAACAATGCTTAAGCACTTCCAACTTTCTAGACACATGAGCTGCCAATTCTATTTGCACTGTTCACTGCAATTGTCAAAACACTTTCCTATTCACCAGGTTCTTTCCCTTCCAAATGTGCCTCAAGATGAGGCATACTGGGGACTAGCATTCCTATTTAAAAAGGTTGGCTCCAAAGGGCCCATAAGCTGCGTTTGCAGGGCATGCTGAGCCCACAATTGTCAGAAGCCTGTATTTGTACGTGTCAACTGTCACTTTATCCTTTAAACCGTCTGCAAGGCAAACTCTTAACTAAAAAGATGCAGCAGTGTGATTGCCAGAACACCAGCAACTTCGGTCAATGCGTTCCGGCCTCGCGGGCCCTGGAAGATAACCGGCTAACTGAGCTGCTGAGTCAAGATAGTGGGAAGGAGAGGGACAAGGGATGCCGACATCCATTTTCAGACAAGTCAGTAAATTTTTGCTGGTCAATACCTCCATTCTCTTCACTGAGCCTTCCTATGACCCAATTATCCGGCTTATTTCTGTGCTCTGTCTAGTGTAAAACAGAACTCCCACACAGTTCTTTACCTCTGCTCTAAGTTTAATTACAGCAGATACAAAACATGGATTTTTTCTTTTTTAATTAAAGACAGGGTCTTGCTGTGCAGTTCAGGCTGGCCTCGACTCTGCCTCCCCAGCGCTGAGATTGCAAGCGTGCACCACCAGCTCCACTACAGCAAGGAACTGACCCTCAAATATTACTGGAAAAAGACTAAAAAGATTGTAAGGATCAACGCAATTCTTCCTCTTGAAACAAAACTTTATTTTAAAAAATTAAGCACCTCTTCCACTTCCTACACTGGCGGTAGAGACTTAATTGCTTCACTTCTGTCTGCCGGGCTTTCGCTCTTCGGCTCAGTGGCCCCGAAGCACATCCGTCGCAGTTAACTGACCAAGTCCAGTTTTTCCCTCCCACCGCCATCAGTGTGACTTGTGGATCTGAGAAGCAGGACCTAACCAGCTCAAGACTGGGACATCGGCGCAGTAGATGAAGGCGTTGTAATTCCCACCATCATCACATTATGAGGGGCTGAGGCCCAGAAAGGAACCTGCCCAGGTTCACAAAGCACCGTCCACCTCGGAGCTGCGACCGCAGGTGCCTCGGGCCTGCCCCGGGAGGCTCCCCGACGCCGTCCGGCCTCCTAGCCTCGAGCAGGTGCAGGCGTGGGGGCGCGCGAGGCGGCCGCCGCGCTCCAGAACGTTCTCCGCGCCCTTCGGCGCGCTGGGGCCCAGTACCGGCTGCGGGCCGCCAAGCCCAACCCTAACCCCGGCCCCCGCGTCCTCTCCCGGGCTCCAGCGCGGAGGCCCGGAGCAGGCCCGAGCCCTGCCACGCCTCGGGGCTGCGCGGCCCGCACGCCGCAGGCCCCGAAAGCCTGGCAGCGGCATCCTGGGAACCAGTTCGCGTCCCCAGAGGTCAAGCGAGGCCCGGACGCCCGCCACGCCTCCCGGGCGGGCGGCGCGGCCTGCC